GGCGCACCTGTATAATGAATAGCACATTATCACATCTTTGCTTGACTATCTCAATATAATATATTAATATAGTCTTCATAGCCTTTGGTTATCATGTTATTTGTTCTTTAATCTAATGTATTTGGAGCAACTGGCTAGCAAGATGCAGCCCTATTTATCCTTCTAAGGACAACAATAGCAGGGATAAATGTTAAACTAAAGGAAGGAATGAAAAAAAAATAGCAGCTCTATTTGTGCTATGCCAAGATGCATTTCTTGGCAGCTCCAGAGATTCAACAGTCTGGTATTTATCACGATGAAATGCAGAAATGTCTGATGATTACATGAAGGGAAATAAAGAGACTGAGCATAAACTGCAGGCTGAGAGATAAGGGCACATTTTTACAGCAGGCAGCTGCTAAAACAGGGCTATGTCAAGCAGCCCCGAGCTGCAGCAGAGCAGGGTGCTCAGGCCGGGGCAGTGAGGGGGCAGAGCTGAAACCAGGGATAAACAGGATGGTTTAAAACCGAGGAGAATTAGGCAGCCTGCTTAATCACGTTATTTAACACCATGAGGATTATTTTCAAGGAGTTTATCCCTCCTTCATCTCCCATCGGAGAGAAGCAAAATGCCGGCGTTGGCTGTGGACGCTATTTCAGATGTTTCGTTTTGAAAAGAGCCCCTGGCATGTTCAGTGAGGGAATCTGTCCAGCAGTAGTTGGAGCTATGTCAGGGATTTAGCATCATCCCAAATCACTTTAGGACACAGTCTGCCTCTGGCTACACGCTGGATCCTGGGCACCCAGGATTTGGACCTGGCTCTGTTTGAAGGTGGGTGCTTGGCATGACCCCTCTGTGATGCTTCCAGTCTCTGTTGGAGTTCTGACACCAGGATTATTGAAACCAAGGGTTGAAGAGTCAGTTTTCTTACTGAATCTGAAAAGCCCAAGGAGCTCCTGTTGTGAGACAGTCACTGTAAGGCTTTGGTCAAGGTTGTTTAAAGTTAGGGTTGGGATTTGAGAACAGAAAGGTGCAGATCTCTCAATTATTGCCAAGTCTGTGAAGTCTACTATCCCATAGGAAACATGCTGAGATGGATGGATGCTATCCCACAGGAAACATGCTGACATGGAGGCTCATGTTGGTTATGGAGAACAGCACCTGTGTTGTCAGGCAAGGAGCAATCACGAGTTTTATTTTAGGGCTATAGTTATGAACCAGGTTAAGATTACAGTTCAAAAAGGGAAATGTGCCATTGCCTGCTCTATTCTGGACATCACACAGGCCCCGTTCTTGTTTGATGGATGAAGGATAACATATGATGGATGAAGGATGATGATGAAATTCATTATTCTACACAGAGGGAGAGAAGCTCCTGATTTTAGCAGTCATATCCCAGTGGTAGAAGTCCTCCACTTCCCTGACATGAGCACAGAGATAAAGTAACACACGATCCTTGTGTTCTGGCTTCATTTCATCCTTTTGCAGAATGGCATTTCTGAAGCAAGACTCAAGGGAATGGTGAGTTGCACACTAGAGCTGGCATCTCCTAAGAACAATTTAATAAAAATATATGGACATGCTGTATATGATATAGATCTTAGGGTCTTTGTAGGGTTAGCATAGGTAGTACCACGAGTCTCTGCCTGGCAAACTGATGCTTCCCTCATCCTCTTTGCCCCAAACAAAACCACCAACCTTTTAGGATCAATAATCTCTTCTCCTGCAGCCTCCGAGTTTGGAGAGCAGACCCTGTCACTCAACAGTGCCAAGGGCATCAGAAGCAATTAAAAAAAAATTAGAATTGATTTGAAGAATGTAATAATCATTCATCTAGCTGGGGGGGGGGAAGGGTTTTATCATTGAAATATTAGAAAGAGTAGCATTTACACTCTACTAAGTATTATGGCACCCACAGAAGTAAGTCTGAAACCTCAAGGTAAATTATTTAATTCCAAAGAACAAGAAAACAATAATGTTGCAAATCAATGCAAGAGGCTAAGGTGGCTAGAAGTGGGCAGGGAAGGCTTTCTGACTCCAGCCTGGGCCCAGAGGAAGAAGCCAAGTATCTCTCTGTCTGCCATGCCTGCCTTTCCATAGTAAGTTTGCTTCCCAGCATATCATGCCCAGCTCATTTTGTAACCATGCCTACAGCTCCTGTTGCGTGTTCACCCCTCACGGCTCTCACATGTCCTGTCTGGGGAAGGCAGATGTGCCCACTGCAGGGTCAACTTAAGTGAGGATGGTGATCTCCAGGTACAGAAGACAGAAAACCGAAGGTGAGTAACAAAACAAGGTGTTTGGAGGGAGAGACTGAAAACTGTGGCTGCCCTTGGACAGGCAGTTTTGCCACTCTGTGCTCAGCTTTCAGCTGCCCCAACAAGGGACAAGGAGCTTCACTGATCTTTGCAAAGCCTTCAGTAAGTGCCACGTTTTTCTTTCATGTTCTTGGATGTCCCTGCTACAGAACTCATACATCAAACCCTGTCCGAAAAGGAGCAATTAAACTGCACTGCTAAAGGGATATCAATGGATGGGCCTGATTACAGCTCACCCAGAAATGTCTTCCCTAGTCCCAGGCTCTTTGACATGATTCTCCCTCCCTTCTCTGAATTTCTTCCTGCATTAATTTCAGCCAGTCCTGGGATTATTTGAAAAAGGGCCTTGGGGGACTTGTTCAAAGGCACTGCCACCACGGACGACTTTGCTTTCTGAACTGAAGCATTTCACTCCTATCTGTCTGGACATATGAGCTGCTCAGCATTGCTTCATTAGGCAAGTTATTTTTAAATTCCCAGAAAGAGCAAAACATTGAGAGAGGAATTAGCATTTGCCGTTGAAACAGCTGCAAAAAAGAATATGCAGAAGGCACTGCGGGTCCCCCCTGCCAGCACTGTGATTAAGCAGGCAGCAGTGCCCAGGCCCTGACACAGCTCAGGCTGCACAGGGGACAGAAATCATGCTCCGAGATAAGGATTGGTAAGTGACCATCACAACTGTGTTCTGGATCTAAGAGGGTGACCATTAACACTGAACAGCAAAAAATCTTGGAAATATTCCTCTTCCTCCAGCCCCAGCCTGTGTTTCCCACTTTTTCTTCCTCGCATTTTTCTCCTAAGGATTTTGACTCTTAACACCTGCATTCTGGTTTCTCCACACAAATGAATGAAAGGATAAAGGCTGCCCAGAGACCTTCCTTCCCCTAAACAACAACCAAGACCTGGTGGGCACCTGATACTTCCAAAATGCCAAGGGACAGCAATAAAGCTGACGGTGCTCAGTTGTATTCTCACTTTGTAGCGTGTGTAAGTTTCCCAGTGGTTAATCCTGCTCTTCCAGCACGGAGTTAAGGCAAAAGGCACAGCAATAAACTGTCAGAGGCATGTTTTGGTAGCTGTTGTTTTGCAAAGGCTGATTGCCCTGAGGATGGTGCTGCTGAGGGCAGCCGTGACTCACACTGATAATGTTCATAATGCAAGAAAAGGGTTGAATACGGCCTGAGCCTGAGAAGGGAGGAGAGTTTAGGTGGAAACAGCCTTTTCACCCACCTGGGAGCACACAGGCATCACAGCCAGGGAGGTTGTGCCTGGTTCACCCCTCCCTTTGGCCCTGCCTGCAGCCACAGGGTTCCTGTATTTATTCTGAACAAATCTAGCAGGAGCTGTTCTAATAACCTGCTCCCAATTCCTGCCTAATGAAGGCTGCCAGATTCCTCTGAATTAATTCTTGTTCAAACTAGAGTGCTTCCTTTGGAAAAAAACTATCTCATTAAGTATTTCCAGTAATTCTTCAGTGACAGGAACTGCCACAGTTGGCCAGTTGTGGGTGGATTGTTTCAATGGACAGCTTTCCCCATTCCTAAAATATCCAGCAACCCAGAGTGATGTCCAACTACCAAACACCACTTCACCAGATAAATCATAGAATCCCAGACTGGTTTGGGTTGGCAGGGACCTTAAAAATTATCTCATTCCACTCCCTGCCATGGGCAGGAACACCTTCCACCAGACCAGGTTGCTCCAAGCCCCGTCCAGCCTTGAACACTTCCAGGGATGGGTCAACCTCTGCCAGGGCCTCACCCCCCTTTAGTGTTAACTCTGCCATGTGCCTTCCTAGAGGCTGCACTTCAAATGTCCCTTCACCTTTTATTTCTTAGTAAATGGTGTTCCTTGGGTTTTTTCTCACTAAGGTGTGTTTTCAAGCCCTCAGAGAAGTTTTCCTGAAGCCCATAGACCCTTGTCTTCCTTGGTACCTCCCTTTTCAGTTACTCTTGGCAGAGCATCTCATTAGGAGCTCATCTTCAGCTGATTATTCCTCTTCTGAGTCACTGTTTTCCATGACTTTGTCACCCATCCCTTAGTCCAGCTGCTGCACTCTTCTTAGGCTAATGACTTTACATCTGGTGGCATTGAAAAACATGTTGTTTATTTAAGCTCAGCTCATTATGTGATCTAGATTAGGTTTGGTATCAGCGACCTGCCCCAACTTCTGTGCAGCTGCAGATCACCAGTAATGATTTGGCATTTGCTTGCAGGTCAGTGATCACACATTAAGTGTGTGGGATCAAGATCCCACAGGAAGGGAGCCGAGTTCCATGATGCTTCTGCTTATAATTACCCTTGGAGACCTATCAGTTAGTTTTCAGTCTAATTAATATTTGCCATATTGACTTTCACCATATTTTGATTGAGAAAGAGGAATGATGTAAGACAAGATCATGTAAACTATGACATTAAGAAAAATATCTGGCCAACCTGACAAAGCCTACTTTTCTTACTATTACAGTATCTCCTTAAATTACTTATTAACCCATTATTTATTAGAATTTATTACTAGTTGTTATTTGTTCTTAGATATCCTTGATCACAAATATCCAGAAGTGTCTTTCATTAACATTTTAGGCAACAAATGGCTGCAACAGATTTCCTCTGGCCTCTTCTTCTCCCTGTGAGGGGTCAACTGCCCTCCCCTGTTCCCACTGCCCACTCCTGCCCAGAGCCAGGGCCCCACTCCAGCCACGCCCCGTGGTGGCAGAGTTATTTCCCAGTGCTGTGCAAACCTTGGGATCTGTGCTGTCAAATCCATTGGCCCCACAGCTCCTGCCCCACACTCTGCACCGGGGGGGCTCCAGGCAGAGCTCACGGATGTTCCCCAAACCCCACACGCTGGTTCTGCCACTGCCAGCTCTGCCCTCTGAGAGCTCAGCACTGCTGTGTGGGAACAACAACAGCCAGGGGCTGGGGAACACCGACACCTCAGGAACACCAACAGCCAGGGCTCAGGAACACCGAGGAGACTCAGTTTTCTGTCTCAGCACAGAAAAAAGGAAAAGAACTTCAAGTGTTTTTAGGACTGAGGACAAACAATCTCCCTTTAGAACTGTTCCCAGAGGAGCAGAGGAGGGACTGTCCCTGTCCCTGCAGCGGGGCTGTTTCAGCAGTGGTGGGACTGTCCCTGTCCCTGCAGCGGGGCTGTTTCTCAGCCTGTAACCCTTTGCTGTTGGGGCCTGTGCTCTCCCTGCAGGAGAGGCCATGGAACAAGGCCTCCGGGACTGCTGCCGGTCCATCCGCATCGGGAAGATCCTGATCCAGAGCGACGAGGAGACCCAGCGAGCCAAGGTGTACTACGCCAAGTTCCCTCCAGACATCTACAGGAGGAAAGTGCTGCTGATGTACCCAATCCTGAGTGAGTGTCTGCCACCTTTAGGGACAGTCAGACTCCTCGGAACGGGGAGGGCCTGAATGAAAGGAAACCCTCCAAATTTCGGGGGCTTGGATGAGGTTTTCTGCTTGGTTTAGGTGACAGAGCAGGGAATTATCAGGCTGTGCCAGGACACACATCAGTCAGCTGCACCAGTGGGAATGCAAAGCAAATCCTTTGGCCATGGTGGTGTTTGGAAGAAAGGCTGAAGATTAAGACTTGGTATAAATTGATTTTTTTTAAATTTTGCCATGAGACAAGATTCAAACAGTATTTTTCTCATGCTATTAAAAACCATTTTTGGATTAGTATTATAAAACTAGAAGTAAACTGCTTTAAAATTAAACTAAGTTAATGCTAACAAAAAAAAAAATTAATCTGGTAAGGAGTTTGTTGGGATGAGGTAACATTTCCAGTCTAAGATTTCTTTCTCTTATACCCGTGGAGCTTTTGATTTCCATTTGACTATTTTAGATGAGCTTTCTTGCCTCATGGTTTTAATAAAATCCACCAACTTATATGTTTAAAACCTGGCGGAGTTGGCTTTTTCAGAATAGAGGTGAAGCTCCTTCAATAGGAGACAAGTTTTCCACAACTGATACAAGCAGAGGTGAGAGTCTTCCAGGAAGAAAGGACAGAACCATCATTCAATCACACAGAGATATTCTTGGATGGCCAAGGACTAGTTTGCCAACCACGAGGGAAAAATAAAATTTGTTACCAGGTACTGGTAACACTGTCATTGAGGATGCCAAAGTGCCTGCAGAATATGATGTACAACAAGGTGTCATGATCCTGCTCAGCCTGTTCTCTACACTTACGGCACATTGAGACCTTTGGTGTCTCTCAAAGGGTACCAAATCCATCATCCAGGAATTCCCAGGAATCACCATTTTAACTACAGAAGTGCATCCTGTTGCACCAACACACTTTGGACAGAAGTATTTTGGAACAGACTGACAATCTCAGAACAACTGGATGTGACTCTATGACATTACAAGAGGTTTTTTCTATGTTTTATTATTGTTGAGTTGTCAAGGGCATGTTTGGGAACCTTTCTGGCCAAAGGGGGAAATACTTGACTTAGGTGAGTTCTGGCCTGAATAGGGATCAGGTACAAAGCACTCTGGTTACACAGCCAAGCATCTCCATGTTGGGGTTGTTAAACTGCCACACTCTGCTTCAACTACTCAATCTTCTATAGCCTGAATTTTGTGGGTGAAACAGCCCCTAAGTAAACATCATGAGAGAAATCCTTTGGGCCTTTTCCACAATGCAGGAACAGATCCATCCTACAGATCCCTCCAGCCAAAGTGGAAATGGATTTTACCCCTGAAAGAGCCGCTTGTGTGTTAAAACCCTGAATATTTTGTCTCTTTTGTTACCTGCAGCAGTGACCTGCAGCCTGAGGAATTTGTTTTGCAGTGCATTTTCCCAGCATATCCCATAGAACTTCACACATCCTGCATTTATCACACTCCTTGTATGTAACTTTCTTTAGGAAGCTACAGAAAAACAAATTCAATTTAAAAAATAAACAGCAACCCAGCTTTAACCCCAGGTAGTGTGGAGAAAGTCAGAATTCCTGCCTTTACACTGCCCAGTTTGTTCTGGCCTGGAACATCAGTGAAAACTGGCTTTATCTGCCTGCTTAGTTCCTGACTCTGCCATTACTTTGAGTATATAAGGATCTAAGTTTGGCAGGTCTTTTATTTTTAATTTTTTTTGCTTCAGGTTTAGAAGCTCCCAAGAGATTCAGATTTTCCTCACCTCACTGCATTTGGATTATTACTTATCTATATTGTGAATAAGTTATTTTAATATCTTTTTAGGAGAAAAAAAAAAGCAAACCAGCATTTTTCTCATCTATCATTGCATTCCTAATAAGCAGTTTTAAAAACCCTGAGGGATTTAAAGCAAATTTATTTACCCTCATTGAAGGAAACGACATTAAACTTACCATGGAAAAGTGTTGTAATTCTCTTTTACTATACATACAGTAGCAAATTGAAAACACTTAAGTAGGAATTACACCATGCTTTTGCTATAGATTTTGGATTTTTCCCCTCTACCACAAAGTTCTCTATGCAAATATATTTTCCCCTACAAGCTTTTTGAAATATGCTGCTATACCACTCCTAATTTCGTCAAAGCTGTTAAGGAGATGTGGGTGCACAGGTCATTAATAGTTATTAATGTCAACTGGATACTGAAATCCACTAAGTGGTTTTGAAAAATCAGAGCATATTCTGTACCTGTGAGGCCATTTGGGAATAAATCCACTAAATCACACTAAGGGAGGGACTTTTCCTCAACCGTCTGCCCTGGACCTCAGCTACAAGTTTTTACCCCTGAGTAAGGTGAGAATCAGCAGGATCCAGCAGCCATCTCTGCACCTTGTGGGGTGTTCATGTCCCAGCAAACCAGGAAATCTCTGCCTGGAGAGTCTGAGCTCACCCACACATGCAAAGAACAATGTTTTATTCCTCTGTTGCTTTGCCATTTGATGATTTTCAAGACTTTTGGTAAGATTAATCAATTATAGGTATTTTATTGAGGGGCAAAGAAATAGACAAGCAAAATGACTTGGCAGGTGTCATAAAACACCAAGAGGCTGTTCCTGGAGCATAAACCAGCATCTTATCCCTCTGCTCATAGAATATGCTCCACCTTCCATTGGCTAAACAATCAATAATAATCAACAAGGCAACTTTTCCCTATGACAAATATTTTGGTGCACTAATACTGCAAAATTACTTTGTGACATTAAATACTCTCTCCTTAATTTTTCTTCTTAAATTTTACTCACATTGAACAGTCAAACCAGAGCTGTTAGGTCATGGTTTGACTCTATAGTAAATCCAACTGTATGATGAGAAGGACTAAACTGATTTAAACTCGCTCTCCCAACTCCAATTTGCTTTAAAAAACATAGCAGGTGAAGCTTCTGCAAGCAAGTTTTATGCTGGATTAGGTATCACCTCTCTGTCACTCCAACTCTATGCTGTAACAAGTATGACCTATCCTGCAGCTGTAATAAACTCCCACATTTTAGGTACCGGTTATTTCAACAAAAATAGAGTTGGGAACCCACATCTGCTCCAGAGGAAACTGGGAGCGCTTCTGCTCTCCGTTACTAATGATTTTGGAATCTTCCTTTGCTAGTCCCATGCTGTGGCAAGTAAAACTGGTGAGAAATACGCCCTTTACTCCGCCATCCTCTCTAGCACGGACACTGCAGCTGCCTTTGAGTTCTGGAGTCTGACAGGAGAAATTGAAACTGTGAATTTATAAACCCACTTCATTTACATTAAAAGTTGGGCTTGTATGTTTCTGTGCAACAGTTAACAACTTCTAAATGCAACACACCCCTCAATTTGAGAGTAATCTCACTATTATAATGAACAGCCAAAAGGAGAAATAAAGGTGTCTTGTGGGTTTCCTGAAACTGTGTAAATTCTCAGGAATATATTTTTTCCCTGTGTATGGGATATTGCTTGAAAATGAAGATAACTTCTTTGCAAGGCCTTTGCATGGTAAGAGTTTTTAGGCATTAAAATGGGATCTCTCAAGACTCAGTGGGAATCCCTCTATGGGAGACAAGTCTACAGAGCCTTTACCTTTCCCTCTCCTTAAATCTCATTGGCTTCAAAACTCAGACTGTAGTGTTTTCTCTCAAAACTATTTCTTTTCAGCCACAGGGTTTTTTTCCACTTTGTCTCACCGATTCCTGATTTCACTTCTCTGCCAGAATGCCACAAGGGAGATGGGCTGATCCTGCAGGGAACACACCTGCCCTTGATAGTTTCAGTGGTGAGAGGGGGAAAAACTGCAGACAAATTTAACCCTGCAGAACGTGGGAAGTCTGGCATGCAATTAATTATGGCTCATATCGGAAAACAGGAATATCCCATTTTATATGGCACACCAGCTGTCTGTGACACACACCACCAGGTGAGAGGGGAAATCCTGCCATGGGAACAGGGGGAGGAGGATCAATGTCCGTGGGTAGAGGGGAGGGATGTCCATGGTTAGAGGAGGAAAGAATGTCAGTGGTTAGAGGGGAAAAACACCCATGGTTAGAGGGGGAAGGAATGTCCATGGTTACAGGAGAGGAATGTTCATGGTTAGAGGGGAGGCATGTCCGTAGTTGGAGGAGGAGAGTGAATATCCCCACTGACAGATACCAGCACTACCAATTTTCACTTGGTTTTTTGGAACTGTTGGCCACCATCAGTCTTGAGCAGGGTCAGCTCTGTCCAGCACACACACACACACACACCTGAGGAGACATGAAACTCCCCCACGATACAGGACTGGGACGTGGACCCTCCTGCTGCCCTCCCCATTCCCTGGTGGCCATGGGTTGAGGAGGTGCCCTGGGCTGAGCGGGCGTGCCATGGGTTCAGGAGTGCCGTGGTCTCAGGGGGTCCGTGGGCTGAGGGTGTCTGGGGGCTCAGGGGGTCCGTGGGCTGAGGGTGTCTGGGGGCTCAGGGGGTCCGGGGACTCAGGGATGCCCGTGCCAGCCCCCCCACGTAACACCCCCCCCCCCCTTCTTTGCCCCCTCTAAAATGGCGGCCACCCCTGAGGGCCAGGACCGCGCGCGGGGCGGGGCGGGGCCGCCCCCCCGGGCCGCGCCTGCGCGGGGGCGCTCCCGCACTTCCGCATGTGGGCGGTGCTTCCGGCGCCGTTCCTTGGTAACAATGGGGCAGGAAATGGCGGCCTGAGCAGGCAGGGCCAGGCAGGGCCGGGCAGGGGCGGGCGGGCCAGGGCAGCGCGGCAGCACCGGCGGCAGCGGCACCGCGCCCGGGCGGCGCGGGCAGCGGCGCACCCACAGCGGAGGGCGCGGCGGCGGGCGGTGAGCACCGGGCGGTGAGCGCCGGGGCCGGGGGCGGGCTCTCAAAATGGCCCGGGGAGGGAGAGGCCCGGCCCGGGGAAGGCGGCCGGAGCGGCCCCGGCACGTAGCGGAGGCGGCCGGAGAACCTTCGGGGCGCGGCCGCGGGCCCGGCGGGGCGCGGGGGCCCCGCCCCTGGGGCCGTGAGCGGGCGGGGGGCGGCGATGGCGGCCCGGGCGGGTGTGCCCGGCTGGGCCGCGCTCCGGCAGCCCGGGGGGCGCCCCGGCGGCGCCTCCCGCCGCCAGCACCGCCCTCCTGCGGGGCTGGGGCTCCGCGGGGCCCTCGGGCTGGGCTGGGCAGGACCCGAAACAGACCCTGTTGGGGGTGCCGCGAGGGGGTGGCTGTGGCTCTGCCCAGGGCCTCGGGCACGGTTCGGTGCCTGGAATCGCGGCTCACAGGGCCGTGTTCTCAGTCTGTTGAGCTGAGACAAGCAGGCCTGTTGAGGGAGACGGGCAGGGGAACTCTTCCCATCCCGCTGTGTCCTGATCAGCTCTGACCTGTTAAAACCTGTGCTGTTTGCTATTCCTGAGCTGAGTTTCTCTCCAGTTAATCACGTCATCTTTGCTCTGTCACCGTAGTTTCCTAGTTAAATTTTCCCTTGCCCCTTTTAATGCTGTTTGTTAACATATAAGGTTTCTGTGTGGTTTAAAGTTGTTGTCAAGTCCAACTGGATGTATGGTTGTCTACAGTGATCTGCTTTAATTGAGGAGCAACATCAGGTTATATATAATAGTGTGTATATATAATGGGGTTATTAAAATGTATCTTGATTTTTGTGTGTAGGAGGAGCCTGACAAAAGGTTTCACGGCAAAAGACATTGATTTTTTTTTTTAATAGTAATTTTGTTTGTTCCACCATTTTCCAGGAAGGTGGAAATACAGAGAAGCTTCTAAACAGGAGTTCAGACTTGATAATACCCAGTAGTATCATCACACATCACATTTATTTTCCCTGTCCATAGTGCCAGTACTGCTTAATTTCAAGTTGAAAATAGTTGTCAGAATGCTGAAGTTCTGACTCTAATTTGTCCCTGAATTTTAATTGCAGTGACTTGTCAAGTCTTTTAAAAAATAAACAGTTGGCTGCTTCTTGGTCAGTTAATTATCGTAAATTGAGAGTCAGATGTTTTGTTGTAGTCCTTAACTAGCACTTAAACTGACTGTGTTCCCTCTACAGGTTTACCATTTTGGAATTAAAGGAATTATGGCTTAGAATTATGTCCTGGGAAGGGAAAACACACCACACATTATAAAATTAAGGACTTCTTGTTATGTTAGACCACTAAAGCACAACAGCCACAATGTTCTCTTCATCAGCAGCTCTGACTGGGGAAATGTTTGTCACTGAAACAACCACACTGGCATTTTTAAGCCTTTAGTTGTTGTCATGTGTATCATATTTATTTTCCATATTAGTGAATTCATAGACATGCCAGGGCGTACTGGACAGAAGTGTTACAAGTGTCTGGTCTCCAATATGTGTATTTGTTTTTTTTTTTTTTAATGATTATTTTTAGAGGAATAGACAGTGTGCTCCTTAAATGGAAATGTTTTCAAAACACCTGTATGTCATATACCTGCCTGGTATATGTGGACTGATTCCATTTGTGGTGGAGGTGTTGTACCTTTTTTTTTTTAGTCATAATATACTGTTATGACTTCATATACTTCAGTCTAAAGATTGCATATAAATCCAGTTTAATGTAGCTTAACACATTACTGGGTTGCTCTGATTTTTTTCTGTAGAGGACTTAACTTTCCACATATTAAAACATTTGAATTTAAACATGATCATTGGGTGTTTATCCAAGTTTTCATAAATAATCTCAGACTTGGTGAAAACTTAACAGTTCTTGAGCTTTCAAAAATTAATGTTGAAGGGATGAAACCAAATGTGAACATTTCTGTCTTGAAGATACTTTTATGACAGACTCGTGCATCTCAAAAACAAAACTTCTAAGCAGTGTAACAGCGTAATAACTTAGTCAGGAGCTTTGTGTGGGGAGCAGGGGTAGCCAGAAGCATCCCAAGAACTGGTTTTGCTTTTGCCCAGGTTCCTGGCTGCAGGTAAGAAACACCATAAAAAACACAAGCCTATGTCTCCTTCAGACTGCTCAGGTGTATGTTAACAAGGTTCCTGTTAATAACTTTTGGCTGATGTGCAGTGTGGAAGCTCAGCTTTTTACTCAAGTTGATCTGCAGACTTATGTATCTCATAAAACCATCCAGCAATAGTTGAATGTGTAGGAAAAGTCAGCACACATGTTATCTTAGTTCAGTAATTTAAAACCGTCTTGCTCAGAGCACTCTGAATTTCGATATGCAAGGTGCATGTGCACGTAGTCTTGTTAAAATGCAGGGGCCTGCCTGCATTGGGATGGCAGCAGAGACGGAATTCTCATCCTACACATGCCTCTGTAAATTCCAGTAGATTTTACTGCATTTTATTTTGCACTTCTGTGTTGGTTGGGCACCGGATACCAACCAGAACAAGAGTGCACGTCTCGGAATTCCTGTGTGGGTTGTGGTTGTAGTGATTCTCACTGTTCTGGTGGCCTTTTTACTATAAGTAGTAGCTGTACTAGCAGCAGTTGTGTGGAGACAATAAGAGTCAGCAGTAAATGTAAAGGTGGGTGGTTTTTTTTTTTTTTTAATTGAAATTCAGTGAGTTTTGATTGGCTTAGTGCTTTCACTAACCATGAGTTCTGTTTCTTCAGGAACTGAACCACTCGTGGCCTTGGATATCAGTCCTGTTTATGCTGCTGTCGCTGTGTCCACACTGGTTACTTGTGTGCAGCTTTACTTCTTCCTTTGAGCTTCTGCTTGCTGATGTAGCAGGAAGCTCATTTCTGGGTGAAAAGAGCATAATTTCATGAGATAACAGTGCTGGAAACTTGTTGTACCTCATGTACAGTGTTTCTCTTCTGTGATATCTGAATTTGGTAAAAGGCAGGACTATCTTAATTTTATTTTCCACTTGTGTGTGAAAAGTGTTGTTTTAGTAAGTGCAGATGATAAAATGTGAAGCCCTGTATTTTGGCAGTTGTTCCCACATTTTATTTTCATAGCTCCATCTTGGTTCCACATGCTCTCAGTGTTCTGGAATTGCTAAGCTCTGCCCTTTCATACATACCCCGATCTCTTCTCTTCTCTGTGACTTACCAGGAGTTGTTAGGGTTTCTCTTCTTTATCCCAACAGTTGATTCTGCTGAAGTGTTTTTTCTCTTTTTTTTTTTTTTTTTTTTTTTTTTAATTCTGTGGAATTTTCTGCAACTGTTCTGCAAAAGTATTCATCTGCTTTCTATTGTTTAAAACCTACATTCAGAATGACATCTTGTTTCAGGGCCTTTGCTCTGAAACACTGCAGTAGTGAAATAGCTGAATGCACGTTTAGCGCTCCTTGTTAAGCTGGCATTTCAATTTTACAGCACTTTACACAGAACACTTCAATAGAAGATAAAATTATCTTCCAGCTCCCCAAAAGTGGTGCATGTTCCATGGTAGTTTTTGAGTCAAAGAGGACACAGGGAGTTCTGGAGTTTAAAATTTGTGGTAAGTTTAGTAGAAGTCTAGTAAGAACCTCAGTCTGTTGTTCATCAGAGTGGAAATAGGAAGTAACAACATCAGGGGAAAAAAATATGTCCAAAATTCATGATGCAACTTTGAAAACTAGGGAATTTTGTTACTTTTTACTGTAGATGAGCAGGTTGGACCTGTGGTACCAGAGCCTTTGGTGTGATCACAAAAGAGAACTTGTGCACCTGCACAAAAAGAAAAAAAAAACCAAACAACCTTGACATAACCAAGCTCCGTGTATAATGCAGATAGATGACTTTCACTTCACTGTCTTCTGGGATCTTCTTCCTTTAATGATGGAATTCACTGACAGTTTTTGCTTTTGCTTTTGAGCTTGCAGACTCGAATGATGAAATATGTAAGATGAAAATGTAGTTTCTGTTATGTCTTACTTCCTTGCTAGTTTTGAGTATTGAGAAATAGGATACTGACTGGCATGGAAACTATTTTTCTAGTTTTAATCCTTCTAGGAAAATGTAGTACTTGGGAGATAGGGTGGGTTGCATGAATATTGCACATGAGGTTGGGTCTGTTGTGCTCGTGTGAAGAACTCTGTGTAAGAGAACTGCCTGTTCTGGCGGCTGTTCCTGTGTCATTTGAGCCATGGAATCGGAGGCGGTGCTGGTCCTGCCAAAGGGGATGGCACGTTGGAGCTGCTGGAGTCAGAGTTCATGGAAGGCGCTTGGACAGGCAGCTGTGCTGGGCTTGTAAGGAGCTGACATGTCTCTGAGGTTTGTTCACTGAGAGCAGGGCAGGGCAAAAATAGTTTGTAACAGCCCAAACCGAAAAATACGTATTTCTGGCTTCCGCTACTGAGTCACTTCTTTTAGTCCAAGGGCTGGATAATTTGTGCAGACTGGAAGCAAGCAAGGTGCTCAACTGGTTGAAGGACCTAATTAAGATGAGGTTATGAATCATAAATGGGAAGTTGGCCTTATGCTAAGGACATCTATGAAACACTCCCATTGCCATCCTCTCTTTTGTGTATACAGAGGAATTAACTGTGCTGCTGGGACGTGAGGGAACTCAGGAAACATTCCTGCCATACAGGGCATGACAGAGTCTCATGTCAGGTTGAAATACTGGTAACACCTACCGGGGGGAGTTCTGGAGGAAGTTCTTGTTACACAGCTCTCGTGAGCAGCTGACTTGTGTCTGCAGTTTAACTAATTCCATGCCTTGTCCTGTTAAAGCTTGAGACTTGCCCCCTAAATCTAATGAAGATTATAGCTTTAAGGTATTGCTTTTTCATTTCACCCTGCTAATGAGTGATTTCTGAATTGGTCAGATCTTCTAAGTTTTGCCTAGTTGGTTTAATGAGAGTTTTAATGTTTTACGGAATTTCTTTTAAATTAAAAAAAGAAGCAGAAATGCAGGCTAAGGTATTGTCTTGGTGTTTACAGTTAACTCATGTCAGGAGATACCACACATTTTTGAATGTGGAAGGACTAGTGATTTATCACAATGCCTTATGTCCATTAGTGCCTTTTCTGGGAAGAATTCTGTAATCCACAGTCAATACACTGTGTTGTTGTTGTTGAAGATAAATGGATAACACAAGTATGTTATTCCAGTTTGCTGTCCCACTAGGTTGTGAGCTCTGGATTTTGAGCAGTAGTACATTCCTGACTGGATTTAGTTTCCACACAACTTGGCATAAGAGAAAACATAAAATATTTCTTATACTGTGAGAATGATAACTTTGCATTATTGAGGGAATATCTAGTACTCTAAAATTCTTTCCAAAAAAGCATAGTATTACTTCCTCTTGAATAAAAGAATGTAACAAACAATAGCTTTTGTGGGCTTGCTGCAGTCTGGAGCAGCAGTGGAGAGACAGCCAGTCATTTGTGCTCTGAAATCTCTGAGGCTGTTGAGGGGAACTGCAGGGAAGATACTTTGCTGACTTGTGGAAGGATGGGAACACCAGTTTAGAATTCACTGTAGTTACTGTGTCTGGATATTCAGCTGCTGAAGAATGTTTCCTTCTTTTTTTTTTAAGGAGAAAATTTTTTATTCTGGTAGTAATTCTCTGGCTTTGTGCAACCTTTAGGTGATCATCCCCTCCACTTTCCCATAAAGAGGTTGTCATTGCTGGGTGTCTCAGCTGAAATTGGCAATAACCAGAAGGTCTGAACTTCCTGCTCATAGCTGTGACCTTCCCCACCCTTTGTCAACTCAGTGCTGACAAGGAAGGACACTATAGAAGGAAATTCTGAATCTTTTAGCTTGAATAAGAACAGAGTCTTGCTTTGAGGTGAACTAAACCACTGGAAGAAAGAGGAATAGTCGAAGCTTACCTGCTTATTAGATAATCAAATGCTGGTTATTTTGTTGTGTAGGACACCTGTTGGGTTTCCCTCCTCAGGTTTCCCTGTGTTACTGGAGTCAGCTTTCTTAAGCCAGTCTTACTGTGTGAGCTGAGAGCAGAATTCTGAGGGAGGGAGAGATTTTCAGGTTATTTCTGCTGTGTGCCACGATAGGAGTCATAACTCCCAGCATGGAAATCCTGCAGGACAGTCAGATGGGCCCTGCGGAGCCGTGCTGAGACAGGAGGAGTGTAAACCTTCTAGTGAGTTCAGCCTGGTAATGGAGCTCTGCAGCAGAGCTGCTGGGCTGCTCTCAGTGGGAGCTGAGGCTTAAATTGCACAATGTGGACAAAGGGCAGAGTGGACAGGGAAGAGAAAAAGTAGCAGAAGCCTTGGGGGAGAAATCCTGTTTTTCATTTGCTGGTTTTAATATCAGAGCTCTGATTTGAAGAGTATCATCCCATTTGCTGTCAACAGTAAGGCAGGGACAATGTGTTGCTGTGCATTTATGAGCCATCTGTATTTCCGTCAGTGTAAACATCCCATATAGATTCACAGCATTTCAAGGATAGTGAGACTGAGACTGGTGTCATCTGTTACAGTAGCTTGAGACAGGAAAATAGAGTGAGTCTCTCAGTAGTAGAAATAGTCCTAATGTAAATTAAATTCTTCATTCAAGATCCACTTCTGAGGCAATAAAATCTTTTAAGTCTTACCTATTAGCCGATTTTATGGTTTAGGAGGGAAGGTAAGAGATGATGGAGGAGAAGAGAGGAGCAAACCTGGAAATTACTTGTTCTGATCATTTCGTAAAGAATCACCTATTGAACTGTACATCAGACTGTTGATAAAGAGGAGATTACATTCTTTCCCCCCCACACTTGACTTATTTGGACTCTCCCTTTTTCCCTGACCGAGGATGGTGCCCCTTTTTCTCTGAAATGGAGTAGGCAAATGCCTTTGAATCCAATGGGCATTATAAAGCCAAGGTGCCTGCAAGCACTGGAATTTTTAGATAAAAGGGAAGTTTCAAAGCATAAGCAGTAAACCAAGGTCATGCTTTGTATGCATAGTGAGATTTTCTTTTTAAAAGCTGTTGTAGAATTAGTCTAATGCTTACAAAGATATTAATATTGCCAGCTTTATGGAGACATTGTGTGTTTTGCAGTCAGTAAATCCCAAGCTGGCAGTCATTTGGGGTAGAATATTTTACAAACTTCATGTTGCTCCTGTCCCTCAGCATCTTACTGCATTCCTTTATTTTCTTAATCTTATTGTTGACTTTGCTTCGTTGTTATCCTAAAAAAGAGAGTAGTGGTTAGAGTTTTGATGTGTATTCCCAGAGAACTAATGCATCTTTCAAGGCATTATTTTGGATGCAAGTCCTTCATTCTACTCGAGGCTTTTATTCAGATGTTACTTTTAAAACCGGCTGTCTTTATTTCTGGGATCTTCTCTAGAACGTCTTCAAGTGATGTTACTTGGAGCCCTGATTCTGCTCCAGGAAGCTTGTGAGAAGTTGATTGACTTTGAAGCAAGCTCTGTTCTCGTTGGCAATACGTGCCTGGCATGTGGAGGGCACGCAGATTTCCTCACTGAGCCCAGTCAGGGCAGAACGTGCCTCCTGAAACCATTGCTCAACGTTCCCTGGGAATGGGGCCATCGATCGGTGTCTGACAGCACGTCACAGGCAGGGCTGCAGATAGGCAATCTTTGCATTGCACCAGAGAGTCAGAAATGCAAAGGAAGCTGATGACTTCCATTTGGCACAGGGGTCACCCTGTGGTTGCTGCTGATTCCTGGAAAATAAGGCGTAACTGCTTTGGTAAAATGGCAGAACTTTACAGAACTAATAGCCCCGAGTGGCAACAAGTTAATACCACTAACCTAAAACCAGGTTCTAACTCAAGACAAGGAGGGTCAGAGCGGCAATTTCCTAATTTATAAGTCTGCAATAATATGATGTCCTATCCTGTAGAATTTTTCTAGTGTTCCACACTGGGGTCGTCATGCCCTTTAATTTTCACTGTAGCAGCTGAAGCAGTGCCCATGGAGATCATGCAGTGCTGCTCTTCTGTGGAGGAGCACTAATGTAAACTGTGGGCAGTCTTGACTTGACAGCTGTGCTGACAAACCAAAAAAAAGATGCTTTTTCCACTAGACAGATGTCTAAGTGTTGGAAATTTTCCAGTGAGAAGCAGAAAAGCTTTATTCTTCCAATATTTTCATGTCACATGAAGTATGGTTTAAATGAAAGGAATGTTTTCTGATGGGGAATGTTACTGCAGAGCTTTTCAGCATGCAGAGGATTAGCTTGCTAATCACCTCTCTGAGTAACTAGATTCTACCAGTTGTGCAGGAAAATTCTTGATGCTGTGAATAGTGAGGCACAGTGATCAAGGAAACTAGTTATTTTATCTTCATTTGACATATTTGCATGGCCAGTGCCAGAATGTCTCCTGCATTTGCATGTATTTCATTATAATATTTATCAGATATAGACACAGAATTCATCAATAATTTTCTTTGAAAGAGAGACTCTGTCAAATATTTCATCCAAATGAAAAACAATATGAGTAGATTATATTTAAAAATATGCAACATAGAAGACAGTTCTTGAAAGCAGATGTACACCTGGTATGTGCTGGGGGTTTATCTTGGAAATTTTGATTGTCAACATCAGTAATTCAGTAAATGCTGAAACTTGAAAGGAAGTTCTTCTCTTGATGTAAAACACTAAAGTTGATTTTACAAACCTATTTCCTTGTTTGTGGAAACAAAAACCTTTTCTTTTTTTGTGCATGTAGTGTCCCATAGCATCAGAAGATGCTATTTGAGTTCTTCATATCCCTTTACTCTTTTAAATGCACTTGGATGGTGAAGAGGGTGTTTCTTGCAGCAGGCAGGGAAAAGCAATGAACATCTTTTAGAGTCAGAGAGCGCGATCAGGGATGGCTTATGCCTTGTACTACACCACTGTAAGGCTGCCTGGGGAGGCAGTTGTGGTATTAGGGATATTTTATGCCAAAAAGCAGATAATTGTGGACACCTGGTCAACTATGTGAACATAAAGGTGGACTAAGGCTTTGGCAGATGATATGCTCTGTGTTCATACCTGCTGCTTTGTTGAGTATTTGGTCATGATGGGCATCAGTTTTGTTTGTACTTCTTGAAGAGGTTCGTGCTTTGAGAAGGGCTTTGGTTTTGATCTGTTGTTGTGGCACCTGATCTTAACTGAGGCTTCATTAGCAAACTGCTTTAACCCGTGCTCTGTTCTACATTGTAAACATGCCTGAATGTCATACCCTGCTTCACTGCACTCAGTGAAGGGTTTGTTTTCTCCTTTTTTAGGTACTCTCCCACTCATCAAGATGGAAAGCTCAGATTCTAGTGATAAAGGAAATATTGATCAGTCAGAAGCACAACGGCAGAGTCAGCTGGACCGGTTAGATCGAGAAGAAGCTTTCTATCAGTTTGTGAACAACCTGAGTGAAGAGGACTACAGGCTTATGAGAGATAACAATTTGCTAGGAACACCAGGTGGGTAATGCTTGTGCATCCTACTAGAATTGCTTGTAGGCAATTTGTGCCCTTTCCTGTTCTCCTGAAACTGTTTCACCCATTTAGTTTGTGTGCTGCGGTTGTGTTCCGTGGGAGGAAGTAGCTTCTTGCTAATTTGTGCATACTCAAATTTGAGTGGCTCCCTGACTAGTGGAGGGGTAGTTATAAAAGTCTAGTGTTTACACAAGTTGGCAAGAATACCCAGGTTTGACCCAGTTCCAGTTATGGACCCTGAGATGGAAAAAAATCTCCCTTAAGCATCTGTGTGCAGATTTTCTGCTGGTGAGGTTGAATTTGTAACTAGGGTAGGTAGTCTGGTGAGAGATTCTGCACAGGCATTTTGATTTCAGTTCTCAATCAACTTATTACTTTCAATTGACTCTATAGGATTTCAACTAATATAAACCTTTTTTCATGCTTGTGAAAGTGTTACCTTGCATATTTTACTCTGGACAACCATTTAACGGGTGACAAATAGGATGACAAAAATTGCTGCTAAGTTGTAGAGGTTACAGAACCAGAGAATAGGATGGAGCTGTTGGATATCTCAGCTTCAGCAAAACTTACTTGGGACAACAGTGCTAAAGTGTCTGAGCTCCCCCTTAGCAAGCTATTCAGCAGTGTCATTATGGCAGGGTTTAATTAGACAAAAGACAAGCAGTGGCTTGTACCTTCTCGAGAAGCTTTTGATAATGCTTGCCATACATATATGATCTGGAAATATTTTTGGAAATTTTTGCTTATTTTCTAAGGTGAAATTACTGAAGAAGAGTTGCTGAGAAGGCTACACCAAGTTAAAGAAGGTCCACCACAGCAAAACAGTGATGAGAATAGAGGTATATACAGTGTTTGTGCAAACTCTTACCTTTAGCACCCGTACGGACCTTAACTTGAGTGCGGGAGTGGAACAAGTTAAGCCTAGGCAGGTGGAAGGTGAGCTTTGTTTCAAAACTCAGTGCTCCTTATGTGTGATACCTGCTGCAGAGGTCAGTTTGGGACAGATTTCATTCATAACATGTCTGTTATTTGTATCAAGGTAGTTTCACTTGGGTTTGTTTCTCTTTTTTTTTTGTTTGGTGGTGTTTTTTTTTTTTGTTTAGTTGGTTTGGTTTTTTGTTTTTTATTTTTTTTTAAGATTGCCTTCCTCTCTGCTTCCTTCTGGGATGCTTTTTGGCAATCCCTCTTCTTTAATTCGCCATTCTCCGCTTCCGAAGGTGCTGTATTTCTTTTGTTATCACCCTTCTGTAGAGATTGGTGGAGGATGCTCGGAGCTGACCACTGGGGTTCATTCTTCAGCGAGACAGATTTGCCATAAAGCTCTTCACGTGAAGGCTCAGGACAAACTTAGTTCTCTGTTTAATGGTCAATAGAACACTTAATTGTTTGGAAAGGAAAACACAGAATATTGATGTGTTATGACACCTGAGGTGTCTTTCCATTTACTTACGGTAAACAGTATGTGTTATTCTGATGACTTGTTTGCTCAGTGATGGCTGCAGCCTATCTGTCCACATTAGAGCAGCGTCCACTCCCGCTCCCCTAGAAGAGCTCTGGCACTTGGGAATTGTCACGCTGTGTGTGACACCACAGCAGCACTTGGTAGGATTCAGCACTTCTGAATTGTCACTTGTTAAACTAAGCAATTATGTTCTTGGAAAAGATCACTCCAAAATTAGCTCAGTACTCTAATTTTGGTAGTTCCCTGTCTTTTTCACAGGTGCAGAGTCCGCAGAAGATGTTTCAAATGGAGATTCTATAATAGACTGGCTTAATTCAGTCCGACAGACTGGAAATACAACACGGAGTGGGCAACGAGGAAACCAGTCCTGGAGAGCAGTGAGCCGGACTAACCCCAATAGTGGTGACTTCAGATTCAGTTTGGAAATAAATGTCAACCGTAACAATGGGAACACAAATCCAGAAACTGAGAACGAGCCATCTGTAGAGCCTTCCAGTGGGGAGGATTTGGAAAACAGCCAAAGTGACTCTGAAATTCCAAGGTCTGAATCACCATCTGTAAGGCAGCCTGGATCAGAAAGGAGCACTTCGGAGGAGGTAACGGCTGAGGAGGCTTCCCCTCCTAGAGGGCAGAGGAGAGCCAGAAGTAGGAGTCCAGAACAGCGGAGAACGCGAGCTAGGACTGATAGAAGTAGGTCGCCTATTAATCCAGTGAGCGAGGCTCCTCGCAGGCCTCACCACAACCCGTCATCTCAAACGCTTGACCACTCCTCAGCGCATGAGGCTGAGGGCAGCTCTAGAACTAGGCAGCACGTGACCTTAAGGCAGCACACGGTGGGGACTGAGGTGCCAAGCGAAAATGCAGTTCTGTTTTCCCCCCCTGAAACAAGACCTGCTCCTCAGGCAGCAGGCTCTTCAGAAACGAACGGCACCGGTGAGTCCGCAGCTGCCGGGCAGAGGCCTCCTACCATAGTGCTTGACCTGCAGGTGAGAAGAGTGCGGCCGGGGGAGTACCGGCAGAGGGACAGCATCGCCAACAGGACACGGTCCCGCTCCCAGACCCCCAACAACACGGTCACCTACGAGAGCGAGCGCGGCGGCTTCAGGCGCACGTTCTCCCGCTCGGAGCGGGCTGGGGTGAGAACTTACGTCAGCACCATTAGGATTCCCATCCGTAGGATCTTAAACACAGGCCTGAGTGAGACCACATCTGTTGCCATTCAGACCATGCTGAGGCAGATAATGACAGGCTTCGGGGAGCTCAGTTACTTTATGTACAGTGATAGCGATGCAGATCCTAGCACGCCTGCCCCCAGCCCCAACGTGGAGACCTCTGAGCCGCAGAACAGAGCTGGGGGGACCTCAGGCAATGAGAATGCAGATGTTAGCTCAGGGGAGGTGTATGAAGGGGGCCATGAAGCGAGTTCAACATCTGGGGCCAGACGGGAAGGCCGGAATACGAGGGGATCGGTCACATTTGAAGAAAGTGGTTCTCTACCATTCCTTAGCCTTGCACAGTTTTTCCTCCTAAACGAAGATGATGATGACCAACCAAGAGGACTCACCAAAGAGCAGATTGACAACCTAGCCATGAGGAATTTCGGTGAGAGCGATGCTCTGAAAACCTGTAGTGTGTGTATCACGGAGTACACGGAAGGCAACAAGCTCCGGAAGCTGCCTTGTTCCCACGAGTATCATGTCCACTGCATCGATCGCTGGTTATCGGAGAATTCCACTTGTCCCATTTGTCGCAGAGCAGTCTTAGCTTCTGGTAACAGGGAGAGTGTTGTCTAAAGGAGAGCTGAATCAATGGCCAAGCAGCTGGTGTGATAGTGATGGGCAAAGAAGTCACTTCCTTTATGGCCACTTTTTGAGTGGTACCTCAGTGTATAGTAATGACTTGGAGTGAATCTTCCCTCATTAAAGCTTTTTTCTCTGGATTCAAGCTTCAGAAATTGGAAAATTTCTTTAATTAGGTTTTTCGAGTTATAGTCAGTTTGGGTGTTAAATTTCACTTGTCCAAAGATGTCTACCCATTTAAAAATATTTTTTTCTTTGTGAAGAGTATTATGTTTCTTTCCCCCTGCCCAACCCTTGCCATCCCAGTTCAATAAACAGTTTGTCCTCAAGATTGTGCTTATGAGGAGTTCTTTGAGAAGTCAACCCAGCTCAATGTCCATGAGTCGTAGGGGAATTTTTGCAAGAAATCCAACTATCTGAAAAAATAATATGAATTTAATTGCACACTTAAACGTACTTTTAATTTTCCTCCTGGGTTAATATTGGACACGTCTGTGTAAATAACACTAATATTAGTCCTTTCCCCATCACTATGGCACGCTGTAGGATGAGCTGTTAGCTTAATTGGGATATTTATCTTGTTGTGGAAATATAAGAATTGCCTATGCTTGTTTAAATAAAGAAAACAAATCTGTTTTAAAATTGTAAAGCTTTTTTGTAGAAGCTCAGTACTTTTCCAATGCACTGTTGTACTAATGCATTAAGAATTAAAACTGTACCATGCTTAGAAATCAAGAATGCTTTTCATACAGCCCCCACCACACAGAGAGCAAACTGAACACGAGAGAACTGCTTTTGTGACTGTGTGCCTGTCAAGAGCAGTGCATATCTGTACTATTTATGTGAACAGCTACTGTAACATAAAGCCAGGTGGATTAGACATTTAACTGCATTAAAAAACCAGAAATTAAATGTTATAATTGCAGTGTTTTGGCTCAGTAATGCCACTGAAAAAAAGATGATAAAAATTAGAAACTGTTCTAATGGCTGGTTATTTCTTGGTATGGTTGCAAATATATAATGATACAAACTGGTTTATGCCAGTTCACTCAATGAGGTTTATGTCCAATTTTTCTATCAGCATTTACTCTTCAGTTTTTGAGGCAACTCTGTAACTTCAGCAGACACGTATTGGCAGGTTGTTTATTTTTCTTCTCCATGAACTGGATTAGTAATCTCTGGATGTGTTGAGTGGTCATGCTGATATATCCAGTGGTGGTAGCCTGTGCCTCAGGAGGCACAGGGAAATAAGTATTAAGGAAAACATTATTAGAGGATTTGGTTAAATTTGAAAAGTATAATCGATGATGAGTAAACTTAAATGTGTGGCAAATTCTAGGGATAACAGTAAAAAAACTTCAATAAGATCTTTATACTTCTGATGGAGGGGTGAAAATGAATTGAATTTACCTTTAAAATCATGTACGTGACCTGTTGCAATTAAGAATTGGAGGATGTACCTCAACTCTCATCAGTGTGTGGGTAGGGGGGAAACATCCTTCACCCCCAGTGACTCTTTCTTTGTTTTGTTCCCTAAGGATTTTTTTTCCCTGGCTTGTATGTGCAGAGGGAAAGTGATTTTTATGAATTTTGACTCTAGGGTAGTAGTTCCGAAGGGATATGAACTGCTCTTACCCTGTGGGAAACGTGTGTTCCCCAGAGGACAAAACCAAAGCTGGCCTGTTCCTTTTCTCCGAGTGAAAACACATTTTTGGTGTTTTAAAGTGGTGGTTGCATAAACTATAATCGCTGCTCTAACCCATTTTAACATCTCTTCAGCTAGTTAAGGATTCCACAACATCCCAAAATTCCGGTTATTTTCTACATGTGTGCTTTGTGGTGTTTGCTTTAGTGGGAAATCCTGAGTGGCTACTGAGCTCTCTTTCCTCCTGGTGGGACACGCCATGTGAGTGTTCTTTGGGAGCAGAAGAATAAATCAGCTCCTGCTTTTGATTTTTTTCCTTGGACACACATACCTGTAAAATCAAAGTTGGCTGTTGATTTCAGGTGCTGGGTTCTCTATGCCAAAATCTCCTCAGCGAAATAACACTTCTGAATTTCTTCCTGTAGCATTCCCACAGCAAACATTCTCAGTTGCAGTTTCCAGTAGCTTTGCTGACTTACCAGAGAGTAGAATTAGAAGGAAAAAGCCCCCTCTCTACGTGAGTACCGTGTTAGGTGTTGAAAGCTGGGTGTACACCTCTGAGACTAGAGCTGGTGACCACAAAGAAGGGAGCCCACTGGCCCAAATCCACGTGAAACACGGCTGTGGTTTGAGTTTCCAGTAACATGTTGGTAGAGCCACCCTTCCAGTTTTGTTACAGTTTAGAGTGCAGTGCCTTACCATTTTATCTTTCTGTAACAAGAGCAACTAATGAAATCTTGGAGGTTTCCCAAGTGGTACAAAGAACAAATAATTTAATATCAGTTCGGGAGACCTTGAGTGTTCTCAGTGTTTCCTCTGTTTTTTCCAACGCTGAGTGTACTGAAGGGGCTGAGTGCTCATTATCTGGAGGAGTGAGCAGAAATTAAATTGATGCAGCAGGGACTTCTTTATCTAACCAAGTTGTCTGTGAGCCTCTGGTAATTAAGTTTCTATTTACCTAAATTTAGATTGGATTTAAGAAAAGCCAATATTAACATTTCAGTTGCTTACAAAATAGGAAGGACTTCACTAAGGTTCACAATTAGCCTAATTTACAGTTTATTAAATATTTTGATAGTGAGAATCAGTATTTAGTGCTTCCTACAGTTTTCTTGGTGTTCCAGCAGGGACACGAGAGCTTTGCTTGTGCCTGTAGCTGTATGAAGGGTTAAAATGGTGAGTTTTGTCATGTTCCGGGGCCTGCTTGGACAGAAAGGATGGGTTTGGAGAGGCAGAGCCTTGTGCACCAGCGCAAGGTCACAGTGCCACCGTGTGGGATCTCCTCGCCTGCCTTCAGCACCAGCGTAATTCCCTGCAGGATCAGCAGGTTTTTAGTTTTGGAGGATTCTCCTTGTCATTGCCCAACTCAGTAGTTACCATGTTTTGTTTTTTCCAAACATCCGAGCTCCTACTGGAATATCTGGTGCATGAGCTTCATTCTTTTCTGACAGGACAGACCTGTTCCCACAGCAGTTACAGCAGTTGCAAGGCCAAACCCTACAAGAACACACAGTACTTTTTATTTAGTTTGATAGTTTAACTTGGATTTTGAACCGACACAGTTGTCGGTGCTCACCTATTTTTTTTTTAATTGGGGTTTTATCCATTAAAAGACTGAAGGGATCGCCCTTCAGATTCCTGGTGTTGGCTGGATTTCCCTTTCAGGTGCACTTTTTTGTTTCTTTGACAAGCTGGGGTTTTTTGCGAAGAACTTGGGGGCAGTTAATTGAGTTGTTTTAGAAATGATTTGATTAGAGTGGGTGCCGCATGCCTGGAATTCACTGGGTGCGTTTTAAAGGCCCTTTCTAGGAAGTGCTGGTGTGCAGGCCCAGCAGCTGCGGGATGTGACACCACTCGGGTCTGAGGGAGCCATAATTGTCCATTGTGTGGACTTGCAGACAAGGGATTTCCCACCAGAGTTGGCACAATGGACCTTAACGACTGTCATCCCAGTTTCCGGGCACTTGTCTGGGTTATGCAAATGTGGGAGTCCAAAGGCCCCTTTCCCTGGTGGATCTGCAGGATAAACAGTTGCCTACACAACCCAGTGGGCTCCTAGTAATGAGGGGATAATGTGAGCATGAGAACAGACCAGGTAAGGCTGAGCACGAGCTTTGAGCAGTGCCAGGAGGGGGGTTCTGAACTTCACTGTCACACTGCAATACAAACCTCCATCCCTTCGGCTTAGCCACCCTCTCGTCCTTAATTTGAGATCCTTGACAGGAGTGTGCATGTCCATGGAACTGGTGTCCTGGTTTTCTCACTCGTACTGCGGGGCTCGTGTGCTGAGTGAGGGTCTCTGAGCAGTGAGGAGCTGATGAGGAGCCCAGTCCTTGTGGAAATGTCTGCGTGCTCTGCTGCCTTCTCCCAGGAGGAGGAGCTTTGGATGAGGATTGGCTTGGAGCCACGTTGAGGGAATTTATAACAACTTCAGAAATATTTCCAGCCCTTGTGTACACTGGGCTTTTTGTTTACCCTGGATGAGGGAGGGAAGCAGGAGGGCGAAGAGACGGAATCAATGGTAACATACCCGAAGTACAAATAAGTTGTGTTGTGTTAAAAAGGAGGTTTGCATCTGTTACACCAGGGCTTCCCAACCCCTATGATATGCTGTGTCTTTATTTTTCCTTCTTATGAGAAAACATACCATTGAATTTGGTTTGATTTATTTTATCTGGGTTTGTTCCCTTAAGCTAAAATACTTGAGCCCCCTTCCTGAATTTCACTCTCTGCTAGTAAAGCCGTTGGTTGGGAAGCCCTTAATTCCACTGTGAATGTAACAGTTTGGGGGGCAGGGAGGTGTTGCTGTTTTATTTTGGTTTGGTTTGTTTTTTACATCTGTTTATACTGGACTTGTTTAATACAAACTGATACTTTGAGGTCGTTGGACACAGTTTGACCAGGTTTGCCAGCAAACACTCAGGAGGAGTTTGTTCCTTATGTAAGATGTCATAATGCAAATTTAAATAGACTCAATAAAGTGCATGAAGTGTTCATTTTGTGCTGGATCATCACTCCTTGGGCTTATTCTTATGGTGGGAATGCACTGGAGTAAAAGGGTGGTGGTGGATGTGGTAGGAATTTATTTCCTCCATACACCATTTCCCTTGAAGCTGGACAGAAAGTGAAGAGCTGGAATGGTACAGAGTTAACTTCTCAGAAGAATTTATTGCTTCTTAGTACATAAAACTGAAGCAATAAATCTTACTGCGTCCCAGACTTCTGTAAATCTGTCAGTGGATGTTGTGGGATACCAAAGCAGCCTGAGCAAGTTGTCTCTCCTGGAGTAGCTGTGCCTTGCACAGGTTTCCATCAGAGCCAGGGCCCTTTGCTCAGGGCTCTCAGGGCTGGGCCTCCTTGCAAATCCACTCAGCAGCTTCCAGGAGAGTCTCCCGCATGTGGCGAAAAGCTTCATCCTAAAATTAGTAGCTGAGGTACGTGCAAATACTTACTTGAGTGGGCAGGAAATTTTGCAGGGCGTGGGAAGCCGGGTTTATTACCCGCGCTTCCCTCACCTCGGCTCCACTCCCCGGGTAGGAAGTGGGAGCCGCTCCCCGAGAGAGGAGATGGCACCGAGACAAAAGAAGGGGTAGGAAGGTGTTGTGGTGCTTGAAAATGGCTGTTTTGGTACCGTGGCAGCGGGTACAGAGTCACAACTGAGCTGGGGCTCCTCAGCACTGCGAGTGATGCTCTTTTCAGACAAGGATGAAGGTCGTGGGCTGCTCCAGGGATGCACTGACTCAGGATTCTGCTCCAGCTTCACTTTCTGCAGGGACAGCTCTTGGATAAGGGTTTTTTTCCCCCCATTCCCATGTGCTTCTTGCTCTGCAAGTGTTCAATCTGAAACTGGGTCTTAGCACAGGCGTTAGTTTTGATTTCAGGGACTTTATTCCTGAAGTGACTCATGTTTCAGAAGCTCTTTGCCTGGTCACTGTTTCCAGCCCCTCATCTGCCTGTAGGAGTTCCTTTGGTTTGGGTAACCCTGTATTTGTTCCTTAAAAGCTGCCGATCAACCCCCAGATTGCTTAAAGAGCACAAACCAGCCTTGGCACACGTGTGTCTGACTTCATCCCTCTGTTTATTTTCTTTAACATATTCGAGGTCTTTGTCCTGACCTGTAAAACTTTATATAACCTTGTTCCTCCTTCTTGGTGCTTAAACCCTGTAACCTTTCACGTTGCCTTACTCCTCCCTTCAGGATATATTTCCATGGCAGATCCAGACCTTCACAGGGGAATGGGTTTTGCCACTTTGCTGGCCCTGCTGCTGAGTGGGAGGAGAAAGGTTGTGTTTGGTGACCCTGTGCTTCCCAGAGTGATGGGGGGACAGGAATAGTCATCCACTGGGGTACTTCTTCCCTTTTCTGACTGCTCCTCATGGAGTGTTTGGATAGAGAGATGCAGGGAGAAAAGCACAGGCCAGCTGCTCCTCCCTTTCTTTCCCAGCTGTTTCAAGTGTGATTGAACCTGTTTTGGGACTTTTAATATAAAGAATCTAAACTCAGCTGTGTTGTGGCTTCATAAATCCTTGCAATAAAGTTATATAGGGAAAACTAAACCCACTTTTTAGACTTCAACTGGCGGGGCATTGTCCATGACACTAATGAGATGCTGCTACCACATGCTCCAACTGTTCCCCTGAATAAATCCCCTGCTAAGCCAAGCATGTGAAAATCCAGGCATCAGGTCCCCTCAACAATGATTACTTCATCAAACAGGAGTCGTCCCAGATTTGTGAGGATTTCTTAAGTTCTGGCACCCTATGCCAGCAGGGTCCTGGGATTCCAAGGGAAAAGCTTATGAGGTGGCACCCTTGTGATGGTATGGGGAGAGCTGGGCTGTGGCACATTCTCCGTGACACCAGCAGAGCCAGGAGAGGAGCTGGCTGGGCTCCTGGTGTCCAGCAAAGATTTGTTTCACTGGTTTGACTTTTTGGGATGCTTTTGCAGAATGTGATTTCTCCGGGTTGAAAGTTTGAGGCCGATGTGTTTTTGCTCTGGAGCAGCAGCTTTGCTTGTTGTGGTGGGTCCTGTAGAAAATGCCATGAAGCACAAAGTGCCAGGATTGGTTTCTTGGCTTTAATACCTGCTCTAGCCGTCCCTTTTACAGCAGTGAAACAGCCCTGGCAGCTGCCCAGACCCAAACCCCACGGTTTGTCCTGTGCCTGCAGAGCCAGACCTTGCCACAGGCTGGCTGGTGAGTTTGGAGGGGGTTCTAGGGCTGAAAGCTCTTGAAATAGCTTCATTTCAGGAGCCCACAGGGTTCCTCTCCAGAGCAGGGATTTGTGGAATGGAGGTGGGACCACTGTGTGCCTGCCCTGAGCATCACTCACTGCTCACCAGGCAGCTGAAGGGCCGGAAGAGATGCAGGGGAAGATTAACCTCTGTGGGTACTGCTGACTTCTACCTCAACTAAATAATTCCTAAATAAACTTGGAAATGACTCAGTCTTTGCTGCTGGCACCTTTGAGATGATTGTGTGTTAATTTGTAAAGATGGACCTAAGTAAATTGAAATACTTGTGGGAGGGGGAGGCTGGGAAATGCCCTGAAAGCCACTCACTGCTGACAGTGCTGGTTGTCCATGCTCCCTGCACACGTGGCATGACCACGAGGGGCAGGTGGGAAATGATGGGAAGGGATGAAGAACAGAGCATGGGAAGGGAAAGAAAGGGGAACTGACAGGAAGCTGAACATGAGCCAGAGTGTGCCCAGTGGCCAAGAGGGCCAATGGATCCTGGCCTGGCTCAGGAAGAGTGTGGCAGCAGGAGCAGGGAAGTGATTCTTGCCCTGCACTGGGCACTGGGGAGGCCACCCCTGGAGTGCTGTGTCCAGCTCTGGGCCCTCAGCTCAGGAAGGACATGGAGGGGCTGGAGCAGGTCCAGAGGAGAGCAACGAGGCTGGGGAAGGGAGTGGAGCACAAGTGCTGTGAGGAGAGGCTGAGGGAGCTGGGGGGGCTCAGCCTGGAGAAGAGGAGGCTCAGGGGAGACCTCCTCACTCTCTACAACTCCCTGACAGGAGGGGGGAGCCAGGTGGGGGTCGGGCTCTTCTCCCAGGAAGCGGCAGTAGGACAAGAGGGCTGGGTCTTCAGCTGTGCCAGGGGAGGTTTAGGTTGGATATTAGGAAGAAATTTTTTACAGAGTGATTAGACATTGGAATGGGCTGCCCAGGGAGGGGGTGGAGTCACCGTCCCTGGAGGTTTTTAAGATGAGACTGGATGTGGCATCAGTGCCATGGTCTGGGAACCACGGTGGGGTTGGATCAAGGGTTGGGCTGGATGATCTCAGAGGTCTTTTCCAACCTGGTCGATTCTGTGAATTAAACCGAAGGAAAACTAAAGGGTAAAGAAAGAAAACGCTTTTGGATTGTGCTCATCTGAGTGGGACTAGCAAAACATCAACACAGGGGGAAAAAGAATACATGGGGAGGGAGGAAACCCACGGGGATCCTGGTGGTTGTCGGGATGCAGAGCAGGTCCAGAAGGGGCTCGAGGACACAGTCCAGGACGGCGGGGACCGAGCCGGAGGGCAGCAGGCGCTGCTGGGGCGATGCAGCGTCGACCACGTACGCCGGGGCTGGCCCGGACTGAGCGATGCTCCAGATGAGACGACAACAGATTTACAACCATCAAATCCCGATCCCAGGCGGAAGAGGTGCGTGCCAAAACAATGGAATAGCTGGAGCCTGCGGGGGGACACATGGGGGGCCCTGCTCGCACCCCACCCCAGGGCTGTTTCCACAACCCTCCCCAAAAGCCCCCGAACGCTCCTCGCGTTTCCAGTGCGGGATGGAGCGGGGCTGCGAGTGATTGGGAGAGGCTTGTTTAGTGCAGCTCTTGTGCCAAAAAAGAAAAAACAGCTAAATCAGGCATGCCCCGGAGCCCCGGCCGGGATAAAGCACGGGGTCCAAGAGCAAAACCCAAAGGACTGGTGATCCCGCATCGGGATTGGGCTAGGGCTACCCCCACCCCGGGGGTGCTGATAACGGGGGCCGGGGGTCCCCAGCACGGGGAGCTGGCTCTCTCCCCCCCGTCTCAGCCCGACACACCTCCCTGCTCTCTCTGCCCCCTCTCCCCCTCCCCTGTGCCGTGTTTCCCTTAGATCTGAAGCACATCTCTAATTTTCCTCCCTTGCTTTGCCCTGCTGCCAGTACGAAGCGGTTTCTCTATTGCGTTTAAAAAAGCCCCTACAACTCCACCCGAAGGAAAGCCGGCGCATCCCGAGCTCACCCCAGCGCTGCCCCAGCCCCACCCTGTGTGTTCTCCTTTCCCCTCCGGTGATGCTTGATGGACTCTGGATACCCCCCTCCCGGGCCAGAGGGTCCCCCGACACCCCGGCTCGGTGCCCTCCCAGCCCTGCCGAGGCTGGGTGCGGCTGAGCAGACCTGGGAAGGGATCTTTTCCAAATTATTGCTTTAAATAACGACAGCGAGCAACGGCTCTAGGAAAGATTTGCATTTAGACGCAGAGATGATTAAAAAAACTAAACTGCTGCCACTCCTCAGTGCATCCTTCAAGTCCTTCAAAGGCGCTTGAAAACGGTTTTTTACTTGTTTTTGGTTTGTTGGTTTGGGTTTTTTTTCTGATGGATTTTGATATTTAAGTCCTGCAAAAAGAAAACAGATGGAGAAGAAGACAATAAACGAAACCAAGCGCAGCCCAGAGCTCGCGGGGAGAGGAGCAGAGTGGCCGGGAACGGCACCCCCCCCCCGCTGCCTCCTACTGCCCAGGGACCCCTTGCAGGGATCAACCTCACCCTGCAGCTCGGGTACACACTGCACATCTATAGATAGAGATACTTGGGGGTGTATATATATGTATAAGCTTTAAAAAATCAATATATAGGTAGATAGATGCCATTCGCATATATAGGTCTAAAAATATACCTCATTAAAAACTATTAAACTAACACAAAACATTGACATGTGGCTCATATTTAATATAGAAAACATACTTGTCATTATATATATTTAATATATAAAACATGCATGCATTTTGT